TGTCAACACACCTTCTCCATACACATCAGTCAATTTCATTCTGGCTTGAACAGCATTTTTACCCTTTCCGTAGTAAAACAGTAAGATATGTCGAAAATGCTGCTTATCGCTCTCCATATTTAAAAGGGCACCAACCAAAAACTACTGCGTAGAATTAATTGGAATTTTTCACACACAAGCCTTGCTATATGAGCTTTCAAATCATATAAAAATTATACGGCTTAAATGTGAAGTTGGGTGCAAAAGAAAATGACTTTCCGAACAACCCTATAGAATGCAGATTCGGGCTATAGGGCCGTGGTCTAAGTGAACCATTCAGTCCATGGACGAATCTGCATTCTACCATGGATTCCGGCCGTGAAAGCCTCTGTTCTTATATTGTTACATTGTCATTATTTTGATAAATATTTATGTTCCTAAACATTTACTTACGTAAAAAATTGCATGAATCAGAAGTTAACAACGTATAAAAATACTGGGCTAACAATTATCGGGGAATTTCCTTACTGTCTGGAAATGACGGAATATATTTACTGCATGGATGTACCTACACCTTGCGTCATTACTTACCTTCTGTTAATGGAAAGTTAAGGCAAATTATTTGGTAAAACAACAACAAAATGCGAAATACATATGTTAAATAGGTACAATATGTCAGGGTCGATAAATAAATATAAATATACATGTGTATTTATCTTGAACGTTGTGTTGCAGTCAAACTACCTAAATAAGTTGGTTTTAAAATTACAGAAATTTTTGTAATAAATTTTTTTTTATAACCAGCTTTATAAAATGTGTTAATTTATTACTCAAAGCCATTTATTGCTTTATTCATATTTTATGCCTCAGGTAATTACTTGAGTTGAATACACTACAAAAAAGTTTAAGATAATTAAACAATTTTAAAAAGTGAAGCGTCATACACCGACTTTTACTTCTAGAATATTTTTAATAAACTGAAAACATAACAAAAACTAAATTATCTCTCGAACAAGGCAATTTATTCCTTTCTAATTCTACAAGTGTATATAATTCATCAGTTTTACTGTTTGAAAATGCAACTGTTTTATTGTTGTCGCAGTAACAAAAAACGTAAAAATGAAAAGTATGTATAGAGTGGATAATTTATGATTTGTCCTTTACGGAACTTCGATGTAACAGATTGTACACAATAATAATTATAAAATGTTAAGTGCCGCTTGATTGTTGTTAACTACCTACTTACTATCACCAGTTTTTGTTTTTTCTTTTAATGGTCATTAGCAGAATAACAGAATGTAAGAATTTATTCTGAATGTTTTGTTATTTGTTTATTTAAGTTATTAGCAGAAAGCTCTATTTTTAACTAGATGTTGACCATATCTTCACATAATTCTGACTACTTTAATTACTTAGCGAGCTATGACAGTATGCGCCATCTACTGACATTTACCGCTAACTGAAGTATTTCAGATGCTGGACAAGTACCTTAATATGATATACATATAGATGTCCAACAGCATCAACGATGCAGGCCTATAAGAAAGCATTTAATTCTTCTCAATCATTTCTTTATACTTCTACAGGGTGGTCCAAAAAGTACACAATATATATAAGTTTAATCGAAAAACTTTTCTAGTAAAACTTGCTCCCTATTTTAATGCAAGATCGTCTGTATTATCCAAATTTAATTTACTATACAGAGTGTTCCAAAATAGGAAAAAGACGGTTTCGTTTAAATGGCAGTCTTGTAATATGGCTCTAATCGAAGAATGTTATTAGTATAAGTTGTTCAGAAAGCCAAACATTCAAATGTTTTATTTTTTCTAGTCAAATCACTTGCATCAAAAAACATTTTGAATATCGGTGCGATTGTTTGCATAGCTTCCAATTTTAGCTTTAAGAACAACTTTTTCTTATACCTTTCTTCGATTGGAGCCATATTTCAAATCATTATCATATGGTCGTCAGTCCTAAGACTGGTTGGACACGCACCTCCACTCTTTCCTATCTTGAGCTAATATTTCACATGGCTGTCATTCAAATAAAACCTTTTTTTTTTTGAACGCTTTGTATAGGAAATCAAATCTGAAAAACACTGCCGATCTTGTAGTAAAATAGGGAACAAGTTTTGTTTGAAAAATTTTGTAATTAAACTTTGTTTAACAGCAAAGAGCATATTGATTACTTTTTGGGCCAACCTGTATATTATCAAACGTGAATCGCCACCAAGAATTTAATTTGGTTAACGTTCTTTTCACGTGTCCAAGGTACAATGTGTATAACTTCAGCAGAACCAATTCCCTGTAGTGCACATCAACGATCCATTTTAGGACAGAGGTGAATAAATAAAGTCTAGTCTACTGTTTGCGCTTATATACTTTTTTACGAATTTGAAAGTCCCAAAGTTGATGTTAATTACAATGAAGGTGGAAGTAAAAAAACTTATTAGTGTTTCATTTACACAAGTTACTAATGCGCCAGGACAGTCTCTTCGGATTACGCTGGATGGTAGGGCGGAAGACCCTCTTCAGCCTCTTTTTTAGTAATTGTGGGAACATGTGAGTGGTGGCTGGGGTGAGAAAAATGACACGGAAGAAATAGTCAGAAGAGAGTGAAGGAGTATCTGTGGAATATTACAAGCTCGGTTCGAAAATAGAGAAATTGTAACTTTATATTGGGCTTAAACCACATTCTGTGGCTACTCGGTCTTTGTATACAGTATAAACTTTCCACAGCTACACATACTGTTTTCAAAATATATTGAATAGCTACGAAATGAGGTGTTAAGAGGCGAATGATTAGGATATCGTGAATAGAGAAGGTTAGATTAGATTAATGATGTTGGGATGTTCTAGTTTTAGAGAAATGCAAAGGTTAGTTGAGGATAGGAAAAAGTGGAGGTGCGTGTCTAATGGGTCTTAGGACTGACGACCTTATGATAATGATGATGATAACGAAATATCACTGAATAGTCAAAACATTCACAACAGCAACACAAAGTCAACGACCACGATATGCCTTCTTTAATTATACAAATATAAATTTACATTGAAGTAGTTTCGGAAATATTCTAGTGGGTGGTCACCGTTGAGACACCCTGTATATATAAGCTTAATTTACTTATATTTCTTACAACTAATCTGTTTTCTGATTGTTTATTATCTGGAAAAATTACGTGTGCATGCTCACGTTATTTTATTTGCCTTATGACAACATTTTTGTTAATACTGAGAAAATGTATTACAAGTTTCCCGTGTACAGGGTGTAACAGAAATAAGTGCCAAGAGCACTATACAACGTGAAAATTAAGTAAATGTTTGTATGTCCGAATGCTCACCGTTTTCGAGAAAAACGTAATTAAAAATACACGTAAATTCAATTCCGGCCCTGGTTCATAAATACGGTGCGCAACGCTGCACTCAATCAGCTAGTGATTAATCGGTGATGCCGAATTCCCTCCCGCAGGTAGTTTTGGTTAAAATATAGATGTCGAATTCCCTCCCGGGTACTTGCCGAGTTCCCTGCCGTTCATATCAACTCCGATAATTAAGTTAACGACTACTTACCGATTTTATTTATCGAAAATAAATATATATTTATAGTGCAGTTCAGTACTTCAGTAAATTAAAGATAAAATAATTTCAGAAAGAAAACACGTATCAGTTATGAAATGTTTATTTATTTAATTTTAAAATGGTTGGTTGCCGTTGGGAGGCAATTGATGTATAATTAGGAGGGAATTCGACATACCGAAAATTTTAACCCTAATTAAAAACAGGTATATGGGAGGGAACTAGGCATTATCCTGATTAATAGCATCAATGTAGTATTTGTTTCGTATTTTTTTGCTCATGTAATGCTTATTTGTTATAATTAGAAATTAAATTTGTTAAAGGAAGACTCTAACTTAGGATAACACATTAGGCGTCAAAGTACGTTTTCTAGAATTTTGGATTATAAGTGTTTACTTATATTTTGATGTTTTCTTTTCATGAAAGATAAGAGACGCGGATTATACCCGACCGCGGGACCGAATCGGTGTGTAGCCATCAAAACCAATAGGAGGTTTTTCAAACAAACAAAACATAGTGCAACCTTCTTTGTATTTCTTTAAAGTTTTTCGAATGGTTTCGGAGCAAAAAAACAATCATCCCCAACAGCAGTTACTTTTATAAATCTGTCTGCATGAAGCCACAAAATGTAAAAGTTACATATATATCTACCTATTAAAATTATTATTAAATAAAAGGATTGTTTTTTTGTTCTACATAATTCATGTTCAAGATAATGACCATGATAGCATTATTGGTATTGTTAATTTGAGTCAGTTGCGATGTCAACGTTGCATTAGCAGAAGTCTGAATCAGCATTATGATTCTTTCACAAATAACCAACATATAGAAATGTAATAAGAACTTATCTAAACGTTGAGCTTTTCGTTTCGCAGAGCATGGTTTTGTTGTTAAAGTTTGATTAATTTTACGATGTTACTTGTGGAGTAAACAAAATTTACCTTTCGTAATTCTCTATGTACTTATTGCATTATTAGATACAATCAGTAGAAAACGATCACATATCCAGGTTTATGACCGTATCCTTCTTCCAGTTGTGGCGTTTGAAAAAAGTTTGTTACCGTTACCATCTTCTCATATCGTCATCAATGCTCATGGTAAGATGTTCAGCTGTGACTTTGTGCTATAAATAACATATTTCTTTTTTTTTTGTAGAAAATATAAACCATTTAAAACAAATAGAATTTATGAAACTAGAAATAAGTTAGAACAAAACTTACATTTGATAACCATAATAATTTTAAATTTCCGTGAGGAGCCTACATACGCCCTCCAGTATCCGGAGGGCATATTTCGCTATTGAGAGGTTTCCGGGGGTTACTCATTTGGTAATATTTTACGTTGGTATGTAGAAACATTTATTGCATAAGTAGGTATTACTAGCTTTTCCCCGCGGCTTTGCTCGCAGAAATTAATATTGTTTCTCCATAAAACCTTTAACTCCCAATTCACCCTTATAACGTTTTAATTTCAAATACAAACGTAGCAACAACATTTGATCTTTAAGGGTTGATTTTTAAAAATTGCCAAAACACGTATTTGCTTAATTTCAACAATGAACAACCTTCGAGTAAATCCGAGTACAAATAAAATATACCCCATGGAAACGTTGCAACCTCTTTTCATTTGATTAATAATATCAAACAGCATATATACGAGTATCAAGTTTCAAGTAAATTCAACCACAAATACAGTATGTCCCAAACAAAAATTGCAACACCTATTTATCCCCTGCAACTCCTCTTCACCACTCCTCCCCCCAACAGAGATTAAATTTTTGTTATACCATTTTTAACAAATGAACGGCTAGACCGATGTTTTGACTGATAAATTTTTCGTTTTGCTGTCAGTTGCGTTTTCTTATACCACGTTTTATGTCAAGTTCCACGGGAACGGGATAATAAAAACTATCCTATGTCCGTCTCCTGGTTATAAGGTACTTCCCCACCAATTTTCAGCCAAATCGGTTCAGCCGTTCTTGAGTTATAAATAGTGTAACTACCACGACTTTATATATGTCTATAGATTCACCTCGTGCACATCATCATTCAAAACTTTTGCATATATTTTTAGTCACAGAATAAAAAATTGCTTTTGTAATATTACAGTTTTTAATGGTTAATGTCCCGCCGTTCTCCGTGGTCTTTTATATGGGGCAGCTACATATGCCCTCCGGTATCCGGAGAGTACATTTCGCTATACAGAGGTTGTTGCTTCCTGGGTAATATTTACATTGGCTTTAGAAACATATATGTATCGTATGTACATTAGTACCTATGAACAATTAATATACTTAGAATATTTGTTTTTGTTTCCTTTCACATTCGTTTATGGATGGATGGTTCACCCCCACCCCCCAATCATCCTTTAAATTTGTCATATGTTTTTAGTTTCAAAATAGAAATGTCAGTGTATTATGTAGTATAGTAGTATTTCATAACATTATGTGGAAGGCAGAATGATGTCAATCAGTTCAATCTAATCTATAAAATTTCAAATACATATAACTAGAAAATTTAATTTCAAACATTTAAATTTATTTTAAATAGGTTAAATTTATTTTGGAATTTTTATGCACAAGAAATGCTTTATATATGCGTATAGGTAAATATATCGTGTCTTCCACAAAAATAAGTCAAATATACATGTTTCCTTTTTNCGGCAGCTTATAGTGATTTTTGGTGTATTATATGCATACTTACTGAACTTTTGTTATGGTTATATCTCTTATAACTTTGTTATTTCATGTATAGTTCATTATGTAAAGGGTAACACGCGTATATTTTTCTTAATAAGATAAAATAAAATATAATCATCACTTTGGGCATAACCAAACTATTAATTTGTAAAAGCTAATGCTTTAATCTATACATCGAAGACACGGTCAACATCATTAAAGACAGTACAACTGTAGGGATAGATATACAGGGGCAAACGATTAGTATGCTTAGATTTGCAGATGATGCAGCAGTATTAATTAGCATCTAGCAAGGAGGAGTTAGAGACAGCTTTAAATAAAAAGGAAGCGGTATTGATGAAAATAAATAAAAGTAAAACAAAAATACTAGTATGCAAGGGAAGAAAAAGTAGGGAAAGAGCGAATATAAAGATAGGAGACGAAAAATTAGAAGAATAATTGTACAAACGTTGTACGTTGCACGCCAAATTAATATTGTGCAACTAATTAAATCGGATCGATGATTTCGATGAAGAATAAAAATTCGCTGTTTTATTTAAAACATTTACTGGAACTTCTATTCTAATCACTAAAAACTAAACTTCAACGTCTAAATTATAACTATCAAATTCGCCCAACAAAGAAAACTATTTTTGGGTGGTTACTGGAACAAAACTTACTTGTTTGAGCGATGAAATCTGAATGATGTCTGATTCTTAATGTACTATATCTACCAACAGGTAAATTGGTGAATATTATTTTAGCGGGGGTGAATAACTAGAAACTGAATATAACACAGAATATGAAAAGCCCTATCATTAAATGTGAGCACAATCGCCATACAACATTTCTTTCCAGTTTATAAGGGTTCTGTGAATACCCAGGTAAAATGTAAACTGGTCCGGCTTCACTAACTTAGACACTATTGCAAATATGAATTTAAATTAAAAATATTTCATGTACAAAAAAGAGAAAAACTTAGGACTTAACAATAATTTTAGGTAGGAAGTTAGGACGGAATAGGGATATAAAGCTAAGGAGCTAAGTCGCCTTCAATAAAATAAAATCACTTCTATGCTCGCAATACTCGTTAATTTAGAAATCCCAAAAAGATTGTTTAAGTTGTATGCTTGGAGTGCGGCACTGTACTGGTGCGAAAGATGGACGGTGGGCGCGGCGGAAAAGAAAAAGTTAGAAGCGTTCGAAACGTACTGTTACAGGCGAATGATGAGGATACCGTGGATAGAGGAGGTTAGAAACTAAGAGGTATTATAAAGAATAGGAGAACAGAGGACTCTATAGAAGTCAATAAGAAATAGGCGAGATAGGTTGGTAGGACACCTTCTCAGGCACAAAGGTCTAGTCAGATGCATATTAGAGGCAGAAACTGGAGGTAAGAGGAGTAGAGGTAAACCTAGATTAGATTACTGTGCGCAAATAGTTAAGGATGTGAGTTGTTCTGGTTTCAGGGAAATGCGAATATTAGCTCCGGATAGGAAAGAGTGGAAGTGCGTGCCCAACCAGTCTTAGGACTGATGACCTTGTGATGATGAGATTATATTAACTGAGATTGACAATGTTAATGATACAACCAGCATATAGTAGTTTTCTTTTAATGTTGTAGACTTGTATGTAGTCAATCGAAGTCGTTGGCAGTAGGTCTGTATGTCTCTGACGTAAGCAGAAGTTACAATGGCATTTAATAAGGCAGATCACAATGTTAATGCAACAGACGAATTGTACGGTCATCGATATATCCAGAGTAGACTTTTTAATTGGCAAATAGTCTTAAATGCGTACAGAAATTAAGATATCCATATCGCCGCTATAGAAGACGAAATCCTTGATGTCAATGTCATACTCACACATTCCATATTACTAACGTCGGTATCAACGATGAAGAGTTCACTGAACCGTGGGTATGTTGTTTGGGGATCCAGCGGCTTAATCTTCAAGTTATCAAACACTTTATGGCATTCGCGTGTCCATTGGAATGAAACTCCAGCTTCTGTAAATTGTGCAATGGTAATGGTCAGGCTATATCGGTAAATCCTCGTATGAATCTTCGATAATAGGAGCAAAGTCCTTCGGAGGTGGTCGCCGATCATTTCTCCCAGTATAATGATGTTTGAGTAAACTAAACAGATTTTCCAGTTTAGTCCTTGTAACACAGTGCCCATTAGTTGTTCCGGTGCATTGCGCAGTCCAATAGACATCATACTGAATTACTAGAAACTATTTCCAGTCATAAAAACAGTTTTATCCCTATCCTGCGGATGACTTCCACTTTCTAGTACTTATCCGTGTATCACCCCGTGTTTATGCATGTCCTTTATAAGGTTATTCACTTCCCTTTGCTTCGCGAAGAGAACTTTTCTAAGTAGTAGTTTGATGGCCCTTGCTGTTCCGGTGTTGATGCGATGGTATGTAAAGTTGGTCCTAGCGAAGACGTGATCCAACAGGACGAAAACATGTTGAAAACGCTCAGTAGTTCTTCTTTCCATTTGACTTTGTTGAGGTGGTTACTGGACCGTTTCGTCAGCTCAGTTAAAACTGCAGGAAGTGTTGTTGGTGTCGTTTCAGATTCAGTCACAGTGGTGAATTTCAGCTGCTGACTCAAATACATCCAAACTGTGTGCCTTTGAAGATCTTTTGTTCAAAGTTGGCTATTCTAACAGGTATCACTGATTATCCACAATTTACGGGCATACGTCTCACTAGTCATACTTTCTGTGCTGTCTGTCTAGATTGCCCGGTCTGATCCCCCGCCCCCCAATCCGTAGATGCCGTCGCCTATTTTGATTCTAACAATGCTCTCTATTCTACCATTACCTTATAGGAGGTAAACTTCGTCTTGGGATTTGACATTGCTATCACTTGTTGATCAATGCACATTGTAATTTTTACGTTGTATGCTCCACGGATTGTTTAAGCCTCTCCGGTAGCTCCAGGCAGGGTTAGTCTATTTATCAATGACCGAATTCGGAATTCCGATACTACATCAGGTCGAACGATAGTGTTGGATGACCATGAGTCGATGAACAAGAAGAGCTCCTTTCTCCAGAGCAATTTGTGATCGGAGTACAAAGCGTAAAATATCACAATTATATATCCAAGTTCAAATAAAAGTTTTATAAATATTGATTATTCAAAAATGCAATGATAATGATGTTGATTCGGGTTTCTCTGCAGTCTTGTTAGAGAAAACGTGACGACGAAAATGTTACAGATTCCGAGTCCTAAAGCACTAAATAATTGAGCTTTTTCCATGACTATAAAATCTGTCGTCAATATAGCTGTTGGTCGCGGCATACGCGACCTATTGACAAGTTCAGCACCGATTTACACAATCATCCTTCCTCCTTTAAAAACTCGCAAAAAGTCAGAATTTCACAATGATAGGGATAGATTTGGAACTACAAGGTTACGAAGGAGCACATATTATATGTAGCGATTTGTAATTTTTCGAAACCGTTGCGATACATGTTGCAAAAACAAGAACCAATTTCGAAATAACAAAACCAAGAGTACACATGTGTTGTATATAATATGTACATCTGTTGAGGTTTCCTCAACATTCACTTCGTGTATTTTTACTTTCGTGACGTAATCACTTGCAATGATTTCTATGAAGTATGAAGTATTTTAGTATAGCAAACTTGTAATCAAGGCAGCTTTTGATCTCCACATTGTTATTGCTGTTTAACTTTTATGGAACATATTTTATTTATAATTAACCAGACTTTAGTGAATCAAATGTTGCGTAGTTAATTGTCATGCCGTAGTGGAAGGAAAGAGTCGTTATAAAATTAAACTGTGAATCGCATTCTGTTTACCCTTTTAATAAATTAATAAACCACGTCAAATATTAACTCCATTACCTTGTTAGCTAATAGATTTAACTTGATTACTTCCTTACATGGGATGATAAACTAGTCGAAATTGAATTAGTGGAAGCTTTTAAACATCTAATCATCTCTAATAGAAAACAATAAGGTCTCAGTTGTAAAGAAAAAATGCTTATTAACATAGTACAAAGCTAAAAAATACGTCAATACAAAAAAAATAAATGAAACTGAAGTAGGTAAGTAATTCAATAAAACCAAAAATTCTACATAAAATGTTTTAAAGCTTAAAATGAAACGCCCAAGGTGTCATTCTCAGCTAAAAACCGAAAACAGTCTACCCATATAACAGGAATTTACAGAAGGAGGCCGACGATTATTTAAAAGCAGCTTTTGCGTATTCAATTCTCATTAGCTGATAATGCTGGTGAGCGAGAAATTCTTCTGATCAACCCTGCGAAGTCGGAGGATATGACGAAAAGTCATCTTCAGCCTGTATTTAAGAATCGAACTAGATTTTTTGTTCTTTCATTCAAGGCGTTGCATTGCATAAAGTCGACGCGTTGCACCGCGCGAACTGTCAAACGCTGCACCGCGAATCGTCGAACCGTTGCACCGCGCAAACTGCCAAACGTTGCACCGCGCAAACTGCCAAACGTTGCACCGCGCAAACGATGCACGGTGAATCGATTGGGTAACCCATTGTCCATCGAATGAACGAGCTTGGCGGGTCGGCTCCTTTAAGAAACCATTGGATTCAAGGCGTTGCACTGCGTAAAGTCGAATTGTTGCACCGAGCGAACTGCCAAACGTTGCACCGCGCACCGTCGAACCGTTGCACCGCGTGAACCGCCAAACGTCGCAACGCGAATCGTCGAACCGTTGCACCGCGTGAACCGCCAAACGTTGCACCGCGAAACACCGAACAGTTGTACCGCGAATGGTCGAACCGTTGCACCGTGCAAACTGCCAAACGTTGCAACGCGCGAATTACCAAACGTTGCACCGCGAATCGTCGAACCGTTGCACCGCGCGAATTACCAAACGTTGCACCGCGAATCGTCGAAACGTTGCACCGCGCGAATTACCAAACGTTGCACCGCGAATCGTCGAACCGTTGCACCGCGCGAAATTCCAAACGTTGCACCGCGAATCGTCGAAACGTTGCACCGCGCGAATTACCAAACGTTGCACCGCGAATCGTGGAACCGTTGCACCGCGCGAAATTCCAAACGTTGCACCGCGAATCGTCGAACCGTTGCACCGCGCGAATTACTAAACGTTGCACCGCGAAACTTCGAACCGTTGGATCGCACGAAATACCAAACGTTGCACCGCGAATGGTCGATCCGTTGCACCGTGCAAACTGCCAAACGTTGCACCGCGAATCGTTGAACCGTTGCACCGCGCGAACCGTCAAACGTTGCACCGCGAAATTCTAAACGTTGCACTGCGCGAACCGCCAAACGTTGCACCGCGCGAAATTTCAAACGTTGCATCGCGAATCGTCGAACCGTTACACCGCGCGAATCGCCCAACGTTGCACCGCGAATCGTCGAACCGTTGCACCGCGCTAACGGGTAGACGTAAACAATGCACAAACAAGCTTGACCTAAAGTGTTTGCAAGAAACGACGACAGCTAGTAGTTCTTTTACTATACTTCCGTAATTTCTCTCAGCTGTATTGAGTGTGCGTGAGTAGAACGCAACAGGTGTTTCATTTTGGGACAAAACGGATCCGATGGCGTAATTAGTTGCGTCTGTCGTTAATGTAAACGTCTTCGTAAAATCGGTGTATGCCAGTATCAGTGCGTTGGTTATCAAATCTTTGCATTAAAAAAAAAGTCCGTTCTGAAGGGGAACTTCCGTCTTGTGGAAATGTTTGAGTGTTTCAACCACAGCCAATATCTCTCGATGGGTGACACAGTAGTTTTGTTCCTGTTTCGAGAGTGTTTTACTAAAGTACCTTATGACCTTTTCCTTTTCGTTTTGTATTTGGGACAACACACCACCAAGTCCCACATTACTGTCTACGATGAAGGGCTCGCTGAATTGTGGGTATCGGTAACATTGGAGCTCCAGAGAGTGTAATCTTTAGTTATTTAAAGCTTCCTAGCATTCGGGTATTCATTGAAATGAAACTGCATCTTCTGTAGGTAAGTCTATGCAGTGGTTGGGTTATATCGGCAAAACCGCTTTCAAGAATGGAGATAAAACTCTTGTTCAGAATTACAGGCCGATCGCCATCGTTAGCTCAATACTAGAAGTCTTTGATTCCATTATTACTACCAAGATTACTGAGGCAGTTGAAAGATTGATGAGACCTCAGCAGCACGGTTTCATTAGTGAAAGATCAGAGATTAGTGGCTTGTTGTCTTTCATGGAGACTCTTGTTGGTCTTGAAGCTGGAGTACCTACGTACTGATGCTATTTACCTTGACATGTCTAAGACATTTGATAAGGTGGATCATGGTCTCTTGCTGGACAAATTGTACGCTCTTGGTATAAGAGATACTTGACGGGAAGATCTCAAATAGTCAGGATGGATGGTTCCATGTCTAATAACATAATGATCGAATCTGGAGTTCCGCAGGGGTCCCAAATGGGTCCCTTGCGGTTGTTTCTACTTTTCATCAACGACTTATCTGAGCTCCCTTTATCGTCTGCAGTTACTATATATGCGGATGATATAAAGCTCTACAGGAATATCAGATCTTCTGCTGACTGTTCGGAACTGCAAAAAGACCTGGACACTGTAGCACTATGGGCCCTCAGGAATGGATTGTCTATCAACAGGACTAAATGCAAATCAATGTCAATTCACCCAGGTGCCTGTGTGGATCTTGAACATTATTATATTATGGAAAGTGTTCGTTGCATGAGAGATTTGGGTGTCATCTTTGACTGCAAATTGAGTCATGGAGATCATATTAATCACATAACTGCTAAAGCGAGCAGAACCCTCGGATTCATCATGAGAACCACAAGAGATTTTAAATCGTGTAATGTCATCCTGTACTTGTACCGCTCTCTTGTGTTACCTATACCAACATATGCATCTCAGATATGGAACCCTCATCTTGCCTACAGAATTGTTCAGTTGGAGGCTGTGCAGCATATATTTCTGCGCTACTTATCCTATAAAGCTGGCACCCCTATGGCATGGATTGATCATGACTACTTAGCCATCTCAGCGCGTTTTCATGTCCATACTATCAAGTCCATCCTTCATTACAATGATCTTGTTCTGGCTTACAAAATCGTAAATGGATTGATCTACTCTGTTCCTTATATACAAGAGTTCCAACCTAGGGAAGAAAACTATGTGCTGAGAAGAACCTCTCATCTAAAGGAAAGGCTAAGGAAAATTGAAAGGCTCTCAAATTCTGTATTTGCAAGACTTAATAGGACTTGGAATCAGCTTAATGTGGAGGTTAGAGCATTGAATAGTATTGAAGCCTTTAAATCTACAGTTCGCGGAGTTGTCCTTCAGACTTATTAATTATTAATTATCAATATGTTATTGTGTGTTGAAGTGCGTGGAATTTAATCTTTGATAAATCGGCAGCTTATAGTGATTTTTGGTGTATTATATGCATACTTACTGAACTTTTGTTATGGTTATATCTCTTATAACTTTGTTATTTCATGTATAGTTCATTATGTAAAGGGTAACACGCGTATATTTTTCTTAATAAGATAAAATAAAATATAATCATATCAGGAGTTGAGAGAATAGCTGACCACGGCATGATAATAGTCTGTGCTTGTAGACACATCGAAATTATGTGGTTCTACGGTTTAGTTCTATGAATTCCGCAGTCCGCAGTGGAATGCATAAGAGGTTATGTTCTGTGACAGCAGTATAGAACAACAGTCATCGCTAAATCAGTGGAGTTGTAGTTGCGGAATAAACTGAAAATCTTCTATTGATTTTTGTTAAAATTCAAGAAATATAAATTATTAAATGTACTAGTTTAGCTAAACTTTAAGATCATTTATAAAACTTCATAGTAAAGTGCAAAGATGGTAAGTACATCATTTCAACAATTTAAATAAAATAGTGCTTTTAAAATAATTGTTATAGTTTCGAGCTACAAAGTGCCCAACAGAAGAATTGTCATTGAGTAATTGTGCTGCGGTTAGTCCTGGAGATTTTCCATCTGACTGCTCGTAAGATAATTAAGTTTTCAAAGTGTAATTACATATTTCTCAAATAACTCGAATTCCAGACATATATTAGTTAACACGGGCGGAAACCAAAACTATGTTTTTTCAATTCAAAGACATCCAGATCTATCAAGGGGTTACATAGGATTCAGCTTACCCCAGAGAAAATGGGCAGTTTTATCAATAGATCAAGAACTGGATGTTAAACCATATTATTTTAATAGCAATGATTGCTTATGTACCATTGTTCTAGAAGCAGATTTTATGCAAAAGAAACAGTAAGTTACAGGCACAAAAGACATTCAATGCAAAAGTTTCTTGTTAGTCATAAACTGTATATTTTAAATTGATGTATATATTTAATATAAAAATCCCTATTAATTTAAGAAGTGAATTTTTGTTGCTACAATTAGATAATTATTTCATTTTAGGACTACTCTGGAAGCATATGACACTGATGCAATGGCTCAAGAATTTCAAAATAAGTTTACAGGGCAAGCATTTACAGTTGGTCAATTACTTGCCTTTGCTTTTAGTGATAAAAAACTATTGGCACTTACTGTAAAAGACTTGGAAGGTAAAAAAAAACTTTCTTCTTAATTAACATATTGATTATAATTTTTATTTCATATAGCTGTTGATATAAATGCCATTAAACAAGGAAAACAAGCCAAACCTCGAAAAACAAAAATTGGTTACTTATTAGCCAATTCAGTTGTTCAATTTGAAAAAGCACCCAATTCTTCACTAAATTTAACAGGAAAATCCAAAGGGTTTGTCAGAAAAAATATTTTATAAATTTAAAAAAATCAGTAAAATCATTGTAGGAAACATCAGAGGACATCGATTATTAATCCTGATTGGGACTTTCAGAAGATGGGTATTGGAGGATTAGATAATGAATTTAATGCAATATTTCGTAGAGCTTTTGCTTCAAGAGTTTTTCCACCAGAGATTGTAGAGCAATTGGGTAACAATTTTTTCTTTTAATGATGCTACATTTTAAAAATAAATGAGTCCTATTTATTGTCAGCATTCTATCTGTAGTACGATATTTCAGGATGTAAACATGTAAAAGGTATATTGCTGTATGGTCCTCCTGGTACTGGTAAAACTTTAATGGCTCGTCAAATTGGTAAAATGCTGAATGCCAGAGAACCAAAAATTGTTAATGGTCCTCAAATTCTTGACAAGTATGTTGGTGAATCAGAAGCAAATGTTCGAAGATTATTTGCTGAAGCAGAAGAAGAAGAAAAAAGGGTATGAAAGGTAAGACATGCAACATTTAAATAAATATAACTGGTTTTTGTAGGCTGGTCCAAACAGTGGGTTACACATCATAATATTTGATGAAATTGATGCTATTTGCAAACAGAGAGGTTCAGTTGCAGGAAATACTGGTGTTCATGATACAGTCGTTAATCAACTTCTTGCAAAAATTGATGGTGTGGAACAACTGAATAATATTTTAGTCATTGGTATGTGGTATGATTATGTGTTATAAAACATATTTGTATGATTTTTTTATTTAAAGGAATGACAAATCGTAGAGATATGATTGACGAAGCTTTACTTAGACCTGGTAGATTAGAAGTGCAGATGGAAATTAGCCTTCCAAATGAGGAGGGTAGACTCCAAATATTGAATATACATACTGCCCGAATGAGACAGTATGGAAAACTACATCCAAATGTTGATAACAAAGTGAGTATCTTACAAAGACATGTAATTTTAATTTTAATCGTTACACGGTGGTCGTCGTTAATTGTATCGTCTTGAAACATGCAATTAGGAAGAACAACAAAAAGGGCGTGTGTACCTATTTACACACATAAGAAGTTATACTTCAATTTACATAGTTGGTATATACAACACTATTTTAAAAATACATGTCAATTTTCTTTTATTAAGCATTGTAACATTAAATTTTCATTCAGAAAAGTTTGTAAATTAGTGTTTATCATTGACCAGTTATTTGGACACAACATCAGTCAGTTTTTATCTGACTTCCTAAGATAATTAAGTTTCTGTATTAGGTTATTTAGGTATTTTAAAATTGTTTTTGGTGTTTAAAAATAAATTGCTAATTTTGGAATTTTAGGAACTTGCCCAATTGACAAAGAATTTTTCGGGTGCAGAATTGGAAGGGTTGGTTCGTGCGGCTCAGTCAACTGCAATGAATAGGTTGATTAAAGCTACCTCAAAGGTGGAAGTTGATCCTGAAGCAATGGAAAAGTTGATAGTGATTCGAGAGGATTTCTTCCATGCATTAGAACATGACATTAAACCTGTAAATTCCCTTTTAGTTCTGAATTTATTAAATAATTATAAACGTATTTTTTTTTCAAAAAGGCATTTGGAACGGCCCAGGAAATTTTAGATCAGTTCTTAGCGAGAGGAATCTTTAATTGGGGTCCCCCTGTTACTCATTTGTTGGAAGATGGCCATCTCTTTATTCAACAAGCAAAATCTGGAGATTCAGGTTTACACAACTAATTATTATCTAGTAGTTCATCTTATATTTTGACATTGTGTTTTATTAGGCTTGGTGTCCGTTTTGTTAGAAGGTCCCCCCAATTCAGGAAAAACTGCCTTGGCAGCGCAGCTTGCAAAAGACTCTGATTTTCCATTTATTAAAGTTTGTTCACCTGAAGAAATGGTTGGATATACTGAAACTGCCAAGTGTTTACATATAAGAAAAGTATGTTTTTAAAAATAATCCTTAACAATTATTTTTAACAAATATGTTGTCAATGTATTTTTTCTTTTTTAGGTTTTTGATGACGCTTATAGGTCTACCCTTAGTTGCGTTTTGGTTGACAATATCGAAAGATTGTTAGATTACGGACCTATTGGACCCCGCTACTCTAATTTGACTCTCCAAGCTTTATTAGTGTTATTAAAAAAGCAGCCACCTGCTGGAAAAAAACTGCTCGTGTTATGCACTAGCAGTCGAAGGTACAAAAATACACTTATGTGAACTTCATATAATAATATTTCGACTTACATAATTCCAGAGATGCATTATTTCCCATTTAGCCACAATATGGCAATAAATTCTGATAAACAAACTGATAAAATATGTTTAACTGAAATTATAATTACTAATCTCTCGGTACTCCAGTTTATGCAATTTTCTACTTCGACTTTATCTTCCTGATCGCATCTATTATGTAATTCTGGGACTTACTGTATTTGCCTTGTATTCGTTTGTTTCCTACAATTTAGAAATAATGTAACATTTCATATAAATAATGGCGTTCTAGATTTTGCTTTAAGAAGGTCATAAATACGGAGTTTTTTTGTTTAATTTATAGACAGGTATTGGAGGATATGGAGATGTTGCCAGCATTCACCGCAGTTTTACACGTACCGAATTTGTCTCGCCCGGAACATTTGTTAGCAGTATTAGAAGAAGCCGACGTATTTTCAAAGCAAGAAATGGCGCAAATAGCCAAAATGATTCAGGGAAAAAAGTAAGTAGAGATATACTTTTAATAATATTAATGTACTTTACTTCATAAATTAGTTACCCTAAAGAAAAATAGATCTTTCAGTCATATTGTTGTAAATCTATTTTCAATATCCACCAGATATTTATACATACAGTACACACTTGGCAACGTAAACCAAAATATAAATAACGTGTTCGATTTTGTTCAGGTTGACCAATTTTATTTTATTATTGTATTGTATTGGTATATACAAAAATTGATTAGGCCGCATATGCAACTAACAAAACCACTAAAGTGAATACACGAATAAAACAACATCTCTCCAGCTAATTTACTGAGAAAATACCAAATATTTCGAGGATTTATAGCAAAGACCAACGGCTATTGCGGTTGTTGATTGATTCATTAAACGATTTATTTGTTTCTCAGAGTTTTTATTGGTATAAGGAAATTATTGGCTTTGATTGATATGGCAAGGCAAACTGAAGATCATCATCGCATCATCAAGTTAATCACTAAGCTCGAAGAAGACGGCGCACTGGAAGGCGGGGATTGAGGACCCTGAAATCACGCAGATTTAGGGAATTTTAACAGTATGAGATGGGATTATACCTTAGTTGATTTTATTGAAGATCTAGTCTAACTCTATAATAAATTAGTTATGATTTTTACTGAGAACATCAAATCACGGTAACGGTGCATTTGATCTGAATGTTCTAAAAATGTAAGCAATAATAATTCATTGGTTAAAAAATGTTTAAATGCAATTTTGGAACTTTCAGGTTAAATAAATAGAAACAACATATTTTTTTATGGTATTTATTTTTTTATGTTCTAATTGCATGTTAAATTAAGAAATTATGAAGACATTCCTTATGCTATTAGCACATCAAAACAAAATAAAATACCCACGAAGGTATAAAAATTGGTTCCTTATTATGATATATTTTGATTAACTAGTAAAATAATACCGAAAAGAAACTTATTTAATTTACTATTATTTCTGTATAGTGTTAAATTGTTTATTATGTTATTATTGTTTTATATATTATTAGCTTATTAAAAAAAATTGATGTTTCGTGAGACTTTTTAGAGTTTGTTTTTTTCATGTAAGTTTCATTATTATTGCATTACCTTTTATTCCAATGGTTAGTTGAAATATTTTATTTCTTGTGATTAGTGAAAATTAAAGTAACAATTGACTTGTTTAAATTAATTTGTTTTATCTAATTACGTTTTAGAGTACTGTTAAGAAATGAAATTTAACACCACTAAAATCATATAACAAGTTTTTCGCAATAAGAGTAATATATATTCCAAAAATGCAAATATTTATGCTAAATTTGCTTGCTTATCTTGTGCTGTAACAAGTATTGTCATTAAAAACGACGACAAAAAGTTGTTACTTGATGGGTACACTAATTTCAAATATTTGGCGTCACAAATGAAATGTATAATTCTTAGGTTTTTGTTTTCATTGTAGCTTTTAATAATTTTTATTGATAGTATCATACTAGTGATATTTATCATTTATTGAATTTAAGATCTCATTACTGACAGACGTCAAGCTTCTCATTAAAAAGTTCGTGTTTATTATAGTACATATATATAGTAGAATGTTTAATATGTATGTATATTGCAGTACTTAATATTCCAATTTGATTGGATTTTTTTGAAGGTTTCGTAGAATAGATCAGAGAAATTATTGTCAAATGCGTATTGCAAACGTAGTAATGCGTTTTTTAAAGGACTAGGGTCGAAGGGAGTATGAGAAAGGTCCTAAAAAAGTTTTTAGAAAACAAACATCGTTATTTAGGCCATTTTCATACTCTTATCATACTTGTCTTTAATGCAAATTAAAATTTAAAAAGAAAACCATAGAACGCTGGTTCTGGTTCGCCTCACTGAAAGATTGATTGGTTTCTAAAATACTGTTGCGTCTCCCCCCCCCCACCAGGTCATTCTCAAAATAGAAATTCTGTTACTGTGGAACTGTACAATAATAGAATTTCTCCCTTTAAATAAATGTTTCACAAGGAATGCTATTTAGATTCTATCGTTTTTATATAAGAGATTATACATTTTTTTTTGTATTATCTTAAAATAGTTCATCAAAGATCTTTTAAAGGTTGTTACATTGTTGACGTAAAAATGCTAGTTTCTGTACGTTTTGCACGCAAATATTTATTTTAAGGACATTCTGTTATGAACCTTTTTTAATGTTGTGTATATAGAAATTTAAATATACATTACGTTTGTAAATGTGTATAATGTATAATATTCGTTTGTTAACTACTGTTCCAGTTCTAAAAATGTAAAAATAATTGTAGGATTTTATTCTTTTAGCTTCAGATATACATATAAGACATGTAGCAGCAGTTATTGTGATAGCGACATTTGGTTGCTATAAGTAGCTAATAATTCCGCAAGTTGCAATTAATCAATGTGCAGTACAATTGAGAAAATTAATAAAAATAATGATGAATACAAAAACGTATTATTTTCCTTGTTTTATCTTTTTTGGTTAAAAAAATATATTAAATGTGAATAAACAATAAATAAAATAAGCCTACATAAAAAAAAATATTGTACCAACATTTACAGTATCATATTTTAAATAACCATAAATCAACATGTAATTAATAATCATGTTATAAATAATTAGAATGTTCAGGTTTTACATTTTTATTATAAGTGTTCTTAAAGTTTTTAACAAAATCAGTCAAATAAACAATACGCACTAGGAAACAAAACACTTCACACACATTAAAAAGTCTTTCACTACCACTTATAATTCATCATGCTCAGGTTCCTGAAAAATAAATTATTTTTAGTTTAATGAAATGTGATAGATCAATATTGTTTTTTTTCCAACTATTTATCTATTTGCAAAACCTTAGAAAGAAAAATTTATTAATTAGAATTTAAAATATTACCTCTACAGGTTTCACATCATCCTCTTCTGCATCTTCATCTTCTTCACTGTCATCATCTTTCTCATCTGACTTCTTTTCTTTAGCTGCATCATCAAGTGCTTGTTTGGCTTTCTTTTCCCCTTCTTGTTTATCTTTTAAATTTTTAAGTTGTTCTTTTGCATATTCCAGATCGTCGGTAATAAGAATGTTATCGAATATCGTACCAGATTTTACTTGCCACAAATCGAAACCAATGGCGCAAATCTCAGGTTTTTTGTATAAAGCAGGATCTGCTTTGTATTCAGGGTTGGGAATTTCAGGATGAACCCATTCACCTTTGTAGTTAGGATTGTCAATTTGTTTTGGGCTCCATTCTCCTTTATAGTCGGGGTTATCAATCTGTGGTGGTTCCCATTCACCATCCATCTCATCATCCCAGTCATCAGGTTTAGTGGCTTCAGGGTCGGGAATATGTTCAGGTTGGTCCCAATCTTCAGGTTTTTTGTCATCTGGGTCAGGAATTGTGGCTCTGTCGTCCCAATCTTCAGGCTTCTTTGCATCTGGATCTTTGATGGTTTTTGGTGGCAACAAATCCCAATCAGCTTCAATATCACCACCTTCTACTTTTTCGCCATCAATGAGAATTTCGTAGGTGTTATCGGGTTTGATAACAAACGTGTACGCGTGTGAATAAACACCATCTTTGCAAGCAATCTCCTTTTTGATGAGATTGTTTTTGCCATTGTAATTGATGATGGCATGTACAATTTTTCGGCCAGGTCCACAAATATCAGGACCAAACATTAGCAAATACGGAGTTTCCCCGTGCAGATCTTCTTCTTTCAAAGAACAATCAAACACCTTTACATATCCACCACCACAATCAATGTCTTGTTCATGTTTTACGGTGAATTGGATAACAAGATCTTTGCCTTCATTCGAAAAAGGCTTAAATTTCCTACTTATCGCATAAAACCGAGCATCTTCTGAAGTTTGAATACCTGAAATAAGCATAACAGAACTATGTACCACTCATGAAATGCAATCCTCATTTACTTGTTTTATGAATAGATGTGATAAAAATACAACTGCAATAAAATAAACGCCTGGCAATGATTACAACTTCAATTACTTAATATGTTTTATAATCAATATGACATCTATTTCTCTAAAATTTTGTAAAAGACAAACTTTATTATTATTATTCTCATAATTGTTGTGGAACACATTTTCTCGTTCAATATTTATACCTTAGAAAAGTTCTGTTAAAACTTAATAATTTGTAAGTACACTTTTATCTATATTTAAAGTGTCTTTTGATTGAAATGCTTGACTATCAAAGTTAATTAATTTCTCATTTATTTCTAATTTGTAATTTCCTCAGTAAGGCAGTACCTATCATCTTTGTTTTAATAACATTTTGGAGGTCATGATATAACTGAAATGTGTTGATAAAGTTTAGTTTTTTGAACTTTGCTTTATTTTGGGGACATATTTTTGAGTAGCAGATGCTGCTTGCAATGCTATTTTAAATGATTTTTAAATTTAAATAGAAATTCGAAGCACTATTGTATGTAGTGCATGTATATATTTTACTCTAATCGTAAATGCCTACTAATGCATTTCCTCCTTTACATAAGATTAAAATGACATTAAATACAATTGAATGCAGTGAATAATTCTGCTAATTAGGATTATGGATTTTGTTTCACCAAACCAACACATATTTTGATTACATTACAATAGCATGTTTATTAAAGTTTTTATTATTAATTTACCTATCAGCATACTACAAACACATACAACCACAGGTAAAAAATTATTACTTTCCTGTAAGTAGATGTGCATGATTTTCTCATACACATTAAATGAATTTAAGAAAGTTTTGCTCTGTTTTTTTTACACTTGTTTAATCTAAATCGACCAGTTGAAGGTAATTTTATTTTTTTAATATTCAGGTATACTTTAAATCGTTGCTTTTTAAATATTAACAAAGATCAAAGATTTACCTTTATCTTCTTCTTCATTATTGAAGAATTTACCAGCGGTTCTTACGAACTTTCCGAACTCTTTTCCAGGGTGTTTGCTGTACACCCAATTCTTTTCCCAAGAATCTACACAAAACAAAATAGGTGATTAATAAAGAATATTGTTACTAAATAAATATATAGCAAAGCTAAACATTGAAAATTAGTTTAAACCTTCTACGCAAAGACTTGTTCAATAGGAAATTGGAGAACCGGTAATAACAACATATAGTATCAAAAGTATACTCACCATCTTTGAATTTTTCTTCAAAGTACACTTCTGCTAATACACTACAAATTGAAATCACAAAAAGCGAAATAAATAAATTATACTTCATTATTTTTTGGTTATTCTTAATTTTAAAGCCACCGACAACTATTTACTCGCAAAGCCGAGCAAGGCGATATGAGCGATCCTAAAATAAGGTACGTTAATGCAACACCACGCAAATGTTAATGTCCTTTTCTTTTTCAATAGGTGCCTTTTGTATGAAACAGAATGAGTAGCACTACACGTTGATTTCTTGGTGACGCGACAGATGGAAGGCTTTCATTGGTAGGTTTGCAAGTCTATCTGAACAAATTTGTTTCGAATTTCATTTTGTATCTTCGTCTATTAACTGCGAATGTATTAGAAAGTATGCGTTTGATAATTTCACACACCGTACAGCTGTATGAATTTGATTGGCTGGTTACTTTTCTCGAAACTGATAAGCGCGTGGATTTAAATTTTAAACTATTGATAGACTATATCATAAAAAATTACGCAAAATTTATAATGAATGGAAAACATTGTATATGTGCTAATATTCATCTAATATCAATCGGAGCGTTAATAGTAATGAGAATTACTTTAAATAAAATTGTAGCTATTTTGTAGCTTTTATTTTTAGTACTAATTGTAAATGTATCTTTTAAACGATGTATTTTATCCATTAATTGTATAATGAAAACTCACAAATAAAGAAAACAGATTCTCCTTTAAAATTTCAAATTTACCGCTATTGAATGAGGAAAGTAAAAAGTTCTCATGAATACAAAGAAACAAGCAACTCGCCTACATTAGAAAGTAAAAGTGTAACTGCACTTCAATGAGTCAGTGTTGCTCTAACAATAATCCTAATATGTAAATTTGATTTTGAGTTCGATAACGCATTAGGTAAGTGTTATTAAAAGATTAAGAGCGGGTGTCATATTTAATTTAATAAAAAGGGTAAAAAAGAACTGCATAAAGTTCGAAACCTGTTCACCTTGAGCTGGCAGAAACACAAATGATACACTCATCATACAAACTAGCTTTTTATTGTTAAGTTTTTGCTGTTAATAAAGCTGTTGATTGCTTAAGATAAACTTCTGACAGAAATCGTAATTTCATAAATCATTAAAAGCTGCGGCTTAAGATAATGTGTGTGCTATGTTTGTAAAGTAAATAGTACCTATGTATATACATAATCGCGTTTTAGATGTCTTCGAATAGCGATAGAAAAATTCGAGATGTTCGCGACCTTTGGGGTTGCAAAGAAGAAAAAGAAAATCCTCGACCACCAGAAGAAAATTCCAACGGTATTCTCGTAGATAACAGGACCAAGCACAAATACAAGACCCTCGAAAGGCATCTGAGTATGAAAAAAACCGTTCGTAAAAAAATGATGCGAGACTTGAAGGAAATTGGTGACGCTTCTACCGAAGAGTCAAATCAACCTGTCACGTTTTTGGAACAGCTAAAAGCCGAACAGCCTCCACCTCCCAATATTGATAAGCCCAGTTTATGGAAAAGACTTACAAAAGGATGGGGACACTCTTAAGTATTATTTTTACTCGGTACATATTTTTGTGTATTTTGCTTGCCAAAATATCTTATTTTTTTGTAATTTATTTAGATGTGATGTTACTGTGTTGGGTAGATTATATTTTTAAGGGTGCTTTTAACTTCTACATAGCTGTAATATTCAAACGTTACATATCGGTGATAGCGTGCATTACAACGGTACCTACACTTCTTCTTAAGAGCCACTTTGGATTATAAATACCAAAAAGGTACCCAAAAATCAACTTATTTGTTTTTCTGATCGAACTGCTAGAAAGATAATAGCTTTTAATAGCAAACTAAATCGCAAAAAAGATAATTAGAATGTCATGAAATATTAATAATTTAAAAGTAATATTTTTCATAATTGATAATATTAAATACTATTAATCATTAATTTATTTTTAACGATTGAATTAAAATAGTGCATTGAATTTTAAATTTTGCAAAATCGAGAATTAATTAATTTAATTTATTTTTCAATGCTAATTTAATGTTAATGAACGATGGTTTATGCAAATTTGTCCCAAATCTACTTTCAATTTCACATGAGTCACTTTTTTGCGATTACGTTTTGGTTTGTATTTATTTATAAAAATGTTCTGTCATCACTTCTGATCCTTCATGAAGCTTTAATTTTTACAACTTTAAAATTAATGGAACTTTAGGGTTTTTTATTTTTTGAGTTTTTCACATGGTAAAAGTAATAGTAAGTACTTAATCAAATTCAGTAAACACGTTATTTTTATTGTGCTTTATGTGACTGAGTTTTGTAAAAAATATAACGCCCTTTTCAACGACATTTTTTAGCTTTAATAGGTTTTAAGATATTGTTTTGTTCCTAATTGAGTAGTATTGGTGAGTTTCATTGTAGGTATAAATAGTACATATTGTAGAACGAATGCTTTAGCTTTTAGTACTTAATATGAAAGTTGAGATTCTATTAAATATATATTTATTTTCTTGTTTCAATATCATCGATGTTACCAAACCCTTCTACATAAGTTCGTGGAGCATAAAAAATAGAGAAACCATTAACGAATAAACCCGGAAATTTACTTTTTCATGACTAAATCTAAACAATAAAATATGTTTCTTTCAAAACCGCAATATTGATGATGAAATATTTTCTTTGTTTTTGAAATCATAATTATAATTCATTTAATTCTGACATAAATTATTGATATAAATTATAAGATGCCTTTTATTATTTTTAACAAGGTATACTTTA